GCGTCATAGCTCACACAAACCTCCAACTCTTGAGCTCAAGAGATCCTCTTGCCTGAGTTTTTCTATTTTTAGTAGAGATGAGGTATTGCTTTTCGTTCAGGCTGGTCTCAAACTTGTGAGCTCAAGCAATCCACCCACCTCAGCCTCCCAGAGTGCTAGGATTACAGGCGTGAGTCACTGCACCCAGCCTCCACAAAATATTAAAAAATTAGCTGGGTATGGTAGTGTGTGCCTGTAGTCCCAGCTACTTGAGAGACTGAGGCAGGTATTGGAAGTTGCAGTGAGCTATGACTGGGTCACTGCATTCCACCTGGGTGACAGGGTGAAATCCTGTCAAAGAAAATAGTATCTTTTGTTTGTATCATCCTTGTAAGGCAAGAAGAAGAATTAATTCCCATTCTATAGAAGAAGAAAACTAAGCCCTAAGAAGTACGTAACTTGTCATATCTAGTAAAATGGCAGAGTTGGCCCTCCAGAAGCTATGTGATTTTCTGCATGTTTAGGTATCCGGGAATGTGTTTGGACAAAAAACATTGCTGTCACAAAAACTTCTCCCCCCACCACCTCCAAATAAACACAAATGAAAAGGTTCACCACTAGCTAAAATAATACAGAGGTATATTATTCCTGCAAAAAGTTTAAAGATGTCAAATTATACCAAGTTTTTCATACACACATTATATTGTAACTTTGTGAAGTTTCAATCTTTTTTTTTTTTTTCCTTGAGACAGAGCCTCAAGCTGTCTCCCTGGGCAGAGTGCTGCGACATAACAACTCACAGCAACCTCCACCTCCTGGGTTCAAGCGATTCTTCTGCCTCTGCCTCTGCCTCCGCCTCCCAAGTAGCTGGGACTACAGGCACCCGCCACAACAGCCTGGCTATTTTTGGGTTGCAGCCGTCATTGTTGTTTGGCGGGCCCGAGCTGGATTTGAACCTACCAGGTCAGGTGTATGTGGCTGGCACCTTACCGCTTGAGCCACAGGCGCTGAGCTTGAAGTTTCAATCTTCACAAAGTAGTCAAGTAAAATTCCCAAACTGTTTATGTTCCACACTTAAGGTATATACTGAATAAATTCAAAAAATTAAATTTTAGCTGGGTGCATGGCTCACACCTGCAATCCTAGCACTCTGGGAGGCCAAGGTGGTTGGACTGCCTGAGCTGACAGGTTTGAGACCAGCCTGAGCCAGGCCAGAGTGCGATCTTGTCTCTAAAAAAATAGCCAGACTTTGAGGTGGGTGCCTATAGTCCCAGCTACTCAGGAGGCTGAGGCAAGAGAACCACTTTAGTCTAAGAGTTTGAGGTTGCTGTGAGCTGTGACACCACAGAACTTTGCCGAGGGTGACAAAAACAGACTCTGTCTCAAGAAAAAAATAAATAAAATATAATAAATTAAATTAAATTTTAGGCCTGGTGTAGTGGCTCACTCTGTAATCCTAACACTCTGGGAGGCAAAGGTAGAAGGATGAGTTTGAGGCCAGCCTGAGCAAGAGTGAGAACTCGTTTCTCCTAAAAATAGAAAAACTAGCTTGGTGTTTTGGCAGGCACATGTAGTCCAAAGTCCCAGCTACTTGGGAAGCTGAGGCAGGAGGATCACTGGAGCCCAGAAGTCTGAGGTTGCTGTGAGCTAGGCTGACATCAAGGTACAACAGAGTAAGACTCTGTCTCAAAAAAATAAATACGTAACAATAAATGTTAGGTATACACAATGGACATTATCATATTAGAAACTTTGACTTCTACAATAAAGAAACCTGTTTAAAATAGGAATTTGACAAATTCATTGGTTCACATAAGACTTTTTGAAGGAATTAATAATGGGTCAGGGTTAAATACAACTTTTAACAATAAAGCATTTACATGTGCATAGATTTAGAAACCAATTGAAGTATGTCTGAAAATGTTAAAGTCAATAATAAATCTATTTCTGTATGAGGTATAGTAGCAGGTTTAAACAAACTAATAGTAAGGTAGGATGGATACAAATTTCATGTAACACTCTGGGAGGCTGAGGTGGATAGATTGCTTGAGCTCAGGAATTCAAGACCAGCCTGAACAAGATCAAGACTCCAACTCTAAAAAAAAGTAATAGCTGGGCTTTGTCACCAGCAACTATAGTTCCAGCTACTGGAGAGGCTGAGGTGAGAGAATCACTTGAGCCCAAGAGTTTAAGGTTGCTGTAAACTACGATGTCACAGTACTCTACTGAGG